ATGGATAGGTATGGGTGTGTATGACCTCACAACAGGCCTGGGTGTGATGGTGCTACAGATTGTCTATGGATAGGTATGGGTGTGTATGACCTCACGACAGTCTTGGGTGTGATGGATAGATGCACTGTCTAATAGTCGTCTATTCTAAGTGTGTATGACCTCACCATATGATCTCCTCTCATGGATGAGTATGCAGAAATCTGTGATATGACATCATTGCTACGAATTGTCCATGGATATGTATTTTTGGTAATTTTTGTCGTATTTCTTCCAGCTGTCAACTGATACGGCCCTCTTTGGTATATGTCTTTTCTTTTGACATTTTTTCCTTTTCTTTTCTGTTTTTCTTTTTTTCTTTTCACTTTTTACGTGTGATGCTTATGAAATAAATGGAAAATTTGCCAACCATGTCTTGTCCTGTTTTGTAGTTCCTCAACATTATCTTATTGTTGTTGCACAGAAGATGCTTGGTGTTTGCGGCACCAAGTCTGATCAATGATGTCTGTTTTTAATACTACTGAATAAACATTTCCCTTTTCAAAGTTCAAGGAATTAATTGCTGAAAACCCGCCATTTTCTCTTCCCTTTCCCTCACTTCTCTTTTTTTTCTTCAAGCAAAGCCGCACTTCATGCAGTTCTATGATTTTGAGGATTACATCTTTTACAGTTAAAAACAGCTTTTTTTCCAGCCGCTTCAAGGTCATTCGAGAGTGAGCATAACGATACGTATATAACGGATTCTGCTGGAGAGTATCCAACACTTCTGACGCATTTCCGGATTATAATACGGCTAACCTTTCAACGAAAAGGTACATAAAACAGTATGCATTATACCATAGTCAAACGTTTTACTCACAGTATTCCAAGATGAAGACATCGAAGTCTCAGTGGCTCTCGTGTTCCCTTCTGTTTATCGCTTCGCTGTCTTGCATGCCTGGAAAATCGTCAGCCCGCAAAGGTATTACTAGCTAGTCTGCGTGAAGACTAAATTGAACTCTCGTTAAGACGAACTGTCTTAACGAGAGTTCAATTCGGTCTGCACGCAGGCTAAGGTATTACACATTCAACACTGTTATGATTATGGAATGTTTTGTCTACAATTATGAGTACGAGGTGTTGCCGAGCCGAYAGTGATGCACGGTACTGCCAGATTCACACGAGCGATACCGTACTTTAAGCAAAGCAATCATAGTAAATATAATTCAACGATTTCTAAGCTTCAGAAGATTCCCCTGCGTAGGTCGAGGTCGTACAGTGCTAGACGTTACTTATTCGTTTATAAGCGATGGGTGCTCTTCCAATGGAAATATCCTGCGATACGACACAGATAGACGCACAGTTTGAATGATTCTTGGTCAATAGAGGGTCCTGAAGGAGTAAAATGGGAGCTAGAATTCGCCTTTTTTGGGCTGGGAAAATGAGGTTTTATGCACTGGCAATGGGATTCACAAACAAAAAATGGGAATGGGATTTGACCAAAATAAAGGCTAGACTATGGGATTTGGTGAAAATGGGGGTTAGGACCCCCGTCCCCCCCCCCCCCCCCCCCCCCCCAAACCCTCCTTCAGGACCCTCTCAATAGAAAGTTGTTATGTACGGCTTGCTCAAATGTAATCTTGGATCAACAACTTGTGCATCGATCTTAACCACGAAATGCGACTTGTCCATACTTGATGTTCACTAATTTTAAACTGAGTGATTCACCAAGGAAATGCTTTCTGTTAGGCACTGAGTGATTAAGAACTTGATTGTCCTACTCGAAATTCAAGTTTAGTCAGAACCTGCTCAAGTTTCCAAAAAGAGATCTTCACTTTCTAGATTAATTACTTGTCAATATTGCGTGACCTCGGTAATCTAAAAGTGAATTACAAAATTAGTAAAGTCTCAGAGGCTGTTTTTAAGCCTTATGGAAAGCATCAAAGGTTGGTGAATTTTCTTTTGATAAGACCACGTAAATCTCCAAACCAACGTGATGGCTCATGCTTTCAACCGGAATGAAACTTAACAAGCAAGTTTTCAAAGTTCTCGATTACAAATCACTTACATTGAGTGTCCCCGCAGCCGTTTTTAGTGTCGTCACGCAACGCTCTCTTCTCACTAGCATAAGTGGGGAGGGAGCGTTGCGTGATGACAATAAGAACGGTATTCTGATATCACAACTTCTTTGTTATTCATGGTTCGTCAAAATAAGACTGAGAAAATGGAATCTTTGAAAAAGAAATTGAAATATGGTATAAGAGTTCGCTTTCAGTGCATCTTCTTAGGCATGCGCAATCAGTTATAATACTTGATTTGTTTGTCTGAATTTGCTTAGTGGTACCCCGCCGTGCCACGGGCGCCAAAAGAACGCAAAGGCGGGAAAAGACTTGCCCCAAGTCAACCTCTCTTGCGGCTTAAAATCAAGGCCACTCGAGGTGGAAACTATTGTTCAAACCAAAATGACTGCAGTTTGAAAAATGCCATTTTAACCTCATACTTTAGTACTTGTGAATATTTGGRCAAATTCGAAATGTATTCCAGAATGCAGTGCAGCTCATTCAATGGATTAAAATGTAGATAAAGTGGAACATGGAAAGAATTATTTAATATGGATATGTATTCAGGAGTTAATTTGTAAATACTTTTACCCCTTTTTGTCCACAGTATCAGATGAATTCAAGTTCCTAGTCACCCCAAAAATGTTTTATGCTGTTCCATTTGGGTCCAACTTCAAGCTGAGTTGTACAACAAATGATGAAACGGCCACTACACAATTATATCATCGTCAGTCTATAGGAAGTGCTTGGAATCTGCTCTCACCAACACCTGGCAAACTCATTAAATCTGGTCAGGTGTACACAGTTTTGGGCTTTGGTATATCTAATGCAGGACAATACCAGTGTCGTGCTACTAATGGTTCAGGGACTACTATCAAATGGTCTGACCGATTGGCTAATTTGATTCCTAATCCTAGCTTAACACCTCCACTCGATATCCATCCTAGGCGTGCTGTTGTCTTGACAACGGGACAATCGTATAACGTCACCTGTTCTTCTGTGCCTCAAAGTACTCTTAAGTGGTTTAAGAAGTATACTGATGGTTCTGAGACAGCTGTACCAAGTAATCAAATACATACAGAGAAAGATCTTGAGATAAACAAGTTAAAGGTGGTATTAATGTTCAAGAATGCACAAAAAAACGATGCTGGGATTTACATTTGCAAGATGACTTACCAAGGGAAAGGAGACTTCAAATATTCAACATTAGAAGTATATGGTAGGTACA